TCTAAAACTACTATGGTACTAGGAAAGCAGCCCAATATCTACTTTGCAATTCATAGTAAGCAGGATACCACAGACTATTATTGAAAAATGCTACAGATTAGGACTAAAGTTTTGACACCAAGTCCATTAGTTGTGAGGAAATGAGGAATGGAGAGACAACACAGTTGCCTTAGGGATTAATGGCCAAATGAGCTGGCTTTGACTACTGAGGAAACCAACCTAAGAGTAGTATTTCTCAAATTACATTGTCAAAAGCATACTTTTGAAAAATATTTTTTAAAAATTACTAGAAAAATGATCAATACTTCAATATCACAGCAATATCGAATTATCGTATGTTTGTAGACACTTTCATTTTCTGTATTCAGAGTCACTAGATAGTACTGACCTACAGTTTTGTTTTTTTAATGTCAATCTGACCTAAAATCTTGCATTTGTAGTCTGAATCTGAAAAAATTCAGTTTTTTTCTTCCCCTACACAAAAATGAAGACAACCCAGACAATTAGAGATAAGTAGCAGAGACTTGTCATTAACTTGTTTTAATTTTGAAACATAAAACATAAGTGTTTTAAGTAAATTAAAATTATTCTTTTAAAATGTAAACGTTAGCATTTAAGAATCCCAACTGCTATCAACCTGAAAATTTTGCTTTATTTTGTCATTTATCTTAGAATAGGATAGACACAAAAACTATATGAAAATATTCACTTAACCTACAAACCCCTCCACCTGTCTCCATTTCTCAAAATTTCCCCAAGTGATTAGTTGATTGCTAACAGAGTGAGCCAGGGAGATTCTACATCCATTGTAAATTTAATTACCAAAGGAAGATGAAATGTTCATACATCTGGCCTATAAACTGACTATAATCGGGTACAATTTACTATAGTCTATCAGATAGGATCTACACTATTGAGAGTATAATGTAATTTACAGGGTCTCTGGAACCAAATTTCCAGACTCAAACCCACACTTTGCAATTTACAAGCTATAGAGTAACTTAAATCCCATATTCATCTGTTTCATCTGCAAAATGGGGATAACAGCAGCTAATTATTATGTAGGTTAAAGTGCATGTAAAGTGCTTAGAACACTGCCTGGCAGATAGTACTATATAAGCGTTGTAACTATTTAATTCTTACATACTATGCCTTCAAATCCTTTGGTAGAATTTGGATTAACAAATTGATTAATATATCACATCCCTACAATGAATTAATATTCATCTGTTAAAGATTATTTTAATTATTATGAAAATATATTCATTTATAATATTCTGTTGGGTAGGGAGGAAAAAGTTAAAAAATCATGTAGTCTAATCTTATATTTAGAAAAGATGCTAATGAAGTTATGAAAAGTTGCACATTGCTGTAATACTTTAAGTAGCATTTGCAAAAGTGACTCAGACAGTTTACCGTTCTTCCCCAATGGGAAAAAAAATATTTAAAATAGACTGATACTAAAATAGCAATGATGGGATAATCAAATACTTTTAAGTTGGAGCTTTTAAAAATTTAGAACTGTGTACATTTAATGTATTATTCTTCCTCCACCCCTGAAAGCAGATGCTTAAAATGAACTGCATCTTAGAAGAGCATTCATATTTAATAGATATGCTAACTCCAATCCCACCCACTGACAACACACCACCACCACTTTTAAGCAAGCTCTTGAAGTGATCACAACCAACTACACATATCAACAGACAATACACCACCTTAATCACTCAAGATTAAGCCACAGATATTAGGTACAATAAATTGGGATTATAAACACAAGTCAGTATTTCTAGAACAGTGAATACTAATTGTAATATCGAGAAGACTCAGATTAGGTAGCTTGTGGTACTCTTAAAATGGTTTTAAAAGTCTTCAATGAAATCAATACTATTAATTTCATGTTTATTTTATATAGGATTTTTGTCAAGCTTTTCCATTTTCAGTTAAAAACAAATTTTCTTCTCAACTAATGATTTTCATTCTACCTAGTTTGGTTTAAATTGTCTATTATAGCCATATTTCATTTCATGGAATCTGAAATCTATTAATTATATATTATAGGCAACATGTCTTCAAATTTGCTTTCAAATGATGCCTACAAGGAGATCAAATTTTCAAGTTTACATAAAACCATACTACACCAATTTACCAACATAAATGTCTTATTTCATTCTATTTAAACAGCAGCACTAACAAAATTCTTAATACATATGTCCCCACCACCTGTACTCTTTCCCTATGCTACTTACAAAAGAACATCTCAATTCAGCAATCAAGTTTTAAAACGACTATCCTACCAAACAAATAGTGATGCACCAAGATCACAATTCTCAAGAGTTATAACATGTTAAGAGTACATGATTTACCTAAGACTGAGGGACTGTACCTTCCTTTATAAAACACAGAGATAGCCACATTGATTTAATTTCATATATGATGCTACCTATTCAATTTATTAAAAATCGTAATAAACATAATCAAACTAGTGCTCCAAACTTATACTGTTCACGTGAAAGACACTATAGGAGAAGACACAATAGAGACTGGCTTGCAATAAGAATTACAAATTCCTTCTACAGAGATGGAGAAATAAAAGGACAAATCTAGTTGTCTAAAAGACAATTCACTGTACACATTTTATTTACAGTTTTGTACACTGTCTTTATATGAATGGGACCACTTTTCTACTGGAGCCATTTTTTAACCAAAGCAAAATAACCTAATACAAAGTGTTAAAATACAGCATAAAGATACAAAAACAGACATACTAATTCTAATTAGGAATGTAATTATGATGTTACATTTTTTATAATCCACAATTGTTTAGGAAATCACACAAACATAGATCACTGATTTGAATGAAATGCATAAATTTGTAGCAAAGCTTTGTAGTTACAAAAAAACAAAAAATTACCAAAGAATGCCCCAAATTAATGTTTATTCCACCTTTGTGTCATATTCCTGGATCCTTCACCAGTATTACATGAGGGAAAAAAACAAAAGCAAAACAAATAAAAAGTGAAATCAGAATCACTAATGTCATCAAGTAGGGAAACAAATAAATTAAAATCTAGCAGCCACCAGCAAGAGTACAGCAAAGAAAATGCTGTAAAAAGAAACAAAGAAAATTGCTAGAAAACTGTATGCATCATACTCTTTCAAACCAGCAAAATATGCTCCTGCATACAATGGAACATAAATAGAATTCTTTTCCTGTAAGGTATAGAAATGCAAGTTCCTTTTTAACATTGTGGATGGGTAAAATATGTTTGTAATAATAATTCTTCTAAGCTATTACAGAGTAGGCCAGAAACACATTAATGGATTATGGGAATGATGTGTACTCTAATTCTTTGATTGGGACAGTGGACATTCTAACCAAAAAAAAAAAAAAGATGAACACAGAAGTACAAAATACCTAGGGATAAAATTAACCAAGGATTTTTAAAAGACCTGTATTTGGAAAATTATAACACACTGAAGAAAGAATTGAAGAAGATACAAATAAGTGGAAGCATATATTGTGTTCATGAATGAGAATTAGTATCATTAAATGTCCATACTACCCAAAGCAATCTACAGATTCAATGTTATTCCTACCAAGATATTAATAGAGTATTTCAAGGAACAACAAAAAAAAAATGTTTGAAAAATATGTATGAAACCACAGAAGACCCCTACCTATGATCTTGAGAAAGAAAAAAGTTGCAGGAATTACCCTACCTGTTATCAAACTATAATACAAGGCCATAGTAAAGCAAACAGCATGGTACTGGCATAAAAACAGAATTATAGAGAAAAGAACAGAATAAAGAGTCCAGAAATAAATCCATGCCTTTATAGTCAATTAATATTTGACAAAGAGGCAAAAACATACAATGTATAGTCTATTCAATAAATGGTGTTGGGAAAACTGGATAGATAAGTGTGAAAAATGAAACTAGACCACCTTCTTACACCATAAAAAAGAATAAACTCAAAATGGATTAAAGACTTAAATGTTAGACTCAAAATCATAAAAAGCCTAGAAGAAAACATAGGCAGTAAAATCTCGGACATTTCTCATAGCAATATTTCTCCTGATATATCTTCTCAGGCCAAGAAAACCAAAGAAAAATAAACAAATGGGACTACATCAAAGTAAAGAATTTTTGCACAGCAAAGGGAGCCAAAAACAAAACAAAACAAAACAAAACAAGGATAAATTCTATCCTTGGAGAAGTCAAATTATAAAGATTTCAAAACTTTGACACAAATACAAAATTGTCTGAGGAAAAAAATTTCACACTTAATTTCTTTTAACTTGTTTCAAAGATATATAAAATTCCCAATTAAGTTTTGATGCTGACAGAAAAATGAGAAATATGATGACAAATCAACAATCATCTCCTTTCTCTTACAGAAACCTACAGAATAAAACCTGGAGCATGCCCATACCTTTTAATTCAGAAGGATTCAGAGAATTAATGTTTGAAAAATCACAAAAGGCAAACCAAACATTTTATGACCTATGGCCAATACCTAATTTTAACAAGCTTAAAACCACTTACTACTAATTTAAAGGCAGTAAAAAGAAAATCCTAGTTAACTGACTGATGTTTGAAAGAAAAAAACAAGGACAGGCAATTTTAAAGAATAATAATATTTACCAAAAAAAGATTAAAGCTTAGACATGTGGGTTTTAAATATGGGCAAAACCAAGATAGTGTCACTTAAATTTCAATAAAAACTCTATGTACAAGGTACACACAAGCACAAAATACACGTATAATATTCACCAATTCTCACTGCATTACTATGAGGATTATACACTTAGTAGTACAATTTTAAAATAGGAAAACTTATATTCTCATTGATAAATTAATATGCTACATGCTAAAGTAGACAAAAGTGTTCATGAAAACAATACGAGGAAAATAATAATCTACAAATACAAGTATTTCTAAAGCTACAAATAAAACTACCCTGCTTTTGATTATCTTAATATTTTAAAAGAAATACACAAAGAGCAAAACTTACCCTATATGTGTAACAGCATCTCTGTTTTCACATTCAGTAGTCCATATTGCTATCTTATCACCGTTAGCTCTAACATTAACAACGGCTCCACATACATCATCACTGTAGTCATCAAAAGATTCTCCAATAAGGCACAGCAGCTTAAAAACAAAACCCAATCCCAATTACATCCAATAGATTAAAAACAGCTTATTCCACTGCAAATGTCTCATTATTTGTATATATACAAAAGAAGTAGGTTTAAATCGAGTTGACTTTTTGAATGTCTACATTATATTTATGTTTTAATGTTTTCATTTGCTCCTTTGTTTCTCTGGTTAATATCAAGAACATTAACAGCCATTTTAAATTTCTCAGCAGCCCTAGCTGGTTTGGCTCAGTGAACAGAGTGTCAGTCTGTGGACTGGAGGGTCCTGGGTTCAGTCAAGGGCACATGCCTGGGTTGTGGGCTCGATCCCTAGTAGGGGATGTGCAGGAGGCAGCTGATCAATGATTCTCTCTCTCATCATTGATGTTTCTATCTCTCTCTCCCTTTCCCATCCTCTCTGAAATCAGTAAAAATATATTTAAAAAAGAAAATTTCTCAGCAAATTGGGCAAATGATATCAGGACCCCTATAAAAGTTGTTATTTTATTAATATTAATTCACTATGCTGCTGCTTCTTACTGTTTTTCATGAACACTTTCTAATGTTTAATTTAAGTGTACAGTTCAGTGACATTAAGTATATTCACAACATGGTATAACCATTACTACCATCTATTTCTAGAACTTTTGTCATCTTGCAAAACTAAAACAACTTTTCAGTGTAGAAATCTAAAATGGTATTTACTGATAATCTCTCCCAAAAGCAAAATTAAGTCTCTTCTTTAAAAAAAAAACAAATAAAACAAAAGAAAAAATCCCTACCCGGTTTGGCTCAGTGGTCAGAGCGTGGGCACATGAACTGAAAGGGGGTATGGGGGGCCCCTGTACCTCAGTTGCAGGCTCCATCCCCATCCTGGCCCAGGTTGGGGCCCAAGTGGGAGGCAACCAATCAATGTCTCTTTTACATCAATGTTTCTTTACGTCTCTACCCTTCCCCTCCACTCTCTCTGAAAACCAATGAAAAAAATATCCTCGGTTGAGGATTAACAACAACAACAACAAATCAGTCACTCAAATATGCGGTGTATGCAATTCATGCACGGGGGGAGGGGGGAGAGGGGGGAGAATGTGTCCCTCAGCCCAGCCTGCATCCTCTCACAATCCAGGATCCCTCTCGCAATCCGGGACTGCTGGCTCCTAACCACTCGCCTGCCTGCCTGCCTGATCACCCCTAACTGCCTCTGCCTCACCCCTGCAGCCGTGGCTTGGTCCGTAAGGTCGTTCAGCTGTCCGGTCTAATTAGCATATTACGCTTTTATTATTATAGATTGCTTCACTTAAGTGCTAACTATAAACCAGACAATGTGCCAAGTGCTAGAGATACAAGAGAGACTATGATTTCTTCTCCTAAAAACGTGGGGTTTAGAACCTCTCACTATAGAAAATGCCTATTATCTCATATTTCATACATATATGTGTGTGTGTGTATGTATATATATGAAGCCAACAGTTACAGGTTATATCACAACAAACAAACTGAATGATGAAACTACATCTTATTGTTTGCTTCGTTGGTCTACAAAGTTTAGTATACAAAACAATACTCAGAGAGTTGTAAAGACATTATACAAAATGTGAGGTGCTATGATTTTGAATTTAATGTAAAGATCAGAATGAGTTTGTTGAGGAAGGTCACGTCAATTGTATCTGATTTGTAATGTGGTAGAGGGTTTCACTGTACTAGTATGTAAAATATACAAACTCACATGATAGAACAAAATTAATTGCTGGCTTAGATTTTCTAGAGTGGGCATTTTTTTATTCTCTTTGATTAAGTAACTGATGTAAATTAGATTTAGTATTCCAAACTGTTTTATAATTTTAAAACCTTACTGTCTCTAGCCAAAAGCGATCGAGGTCACTTCGTCTCTGCTGTTTGTTCAATGTAATTAGCCATCGTCCTCCTCGTTTGTTTTTCTCATCTTCCCACATAGGTTTAATACCATCCTACAATGTTAGAAGACAACAATATTAGACAATATTGTTACTTTAAGAGATCATTTCTAGAAACAGCAAGCATTATACTGTCAACATTTCACTTGATTCCCCATGAATGATGTAGTGGAATAAAAGCAAACAGGACTTAATGCCAGAGGCATGGAATTGCAGAATTAAGAATCTTGACTTAGGGACTTATTAGCTATTAAATCTTGGGTTTCATTTAATTTGGAGGTTCTTAAACATTCTGAGTATTGTACCTTCTCAAAGTTAGATACTCTTCTATATCTAGAAGATGTATGCAAAATTTATGCACAACTTACACAATATCAGATAATTAATGAATGCCCCATCTCCTACCATCTGACAAAATCCATTTGTAAATATATCAGGACCCACATACCCCATGTTAAGAATTCCTGACACACAGGGATTTAAAGTACACCATAGGAAATCTAGTCAATAATGCCATACTAAGTAATACTGAATGTAAACTATAATTGAAAAAAGAATTCCTGACAACTCTGGACTTCAATCTATTCAATATATAAAGAGACTGGATTGGATGATCAAAGCTCTTTTCGAAATCAATCACAGTATAGCCCACAAAGTAAGAGCTTCACTTAATTTCAATTATTTATACTAAAACAGGCAAAATATATTTATGCTAAGCCTAGTAAAGCTATTTAATTTCTCCAAGCATCAGAGCATTTCCTATTCCTAAGTTTGTGGCAAGATTTCAAGAATACCTGAATGGTCCAGTCTTTTAATATACATATATATGAAATCATCAATGAAGCATCATACCTTAAAGAGTGAGTAGTCACAGCCAGGCATTAAATTACTAGATAACTGGATATGGTTGTACAAACTAGGTAAAAGAAAAGGACAGTTATAAACATAGAATAGTAAATGCAGAGCGTAGGTGCTTATGTAACATTTAAAAAATATTATAAGAATAAAAAGATAAAAGTATGTGTTCATCACTTGTTTTTCTATAAACTCAATTTCTGAAATGTACCAAACAGATATTAATAATGGTCAGTTCAAGAATCAATATATGATGATTTAAGAAAATATCTTTAATTTTATTCTGACAATATATTTTGATGCATACATATGTATAGATAGCAAACTGAGAATAGAGGTATGAGGTGCCTTTAAATAGATGAAAAATTTGAGGCTAATGAGCAGTTTTAAATATACAAATCAAGAGAAAGCAAGATGAATTTCTTGACCATCAGCATTGTAAGACTGAAATAAGCCACCATTATCATTCTTGAAGGTATCCAAGAGTAGAACGGACCAATGGTTGGTTCCCAAGCACCACAGACTGTTACTAGTCAGCATAGAATCATTTGATGAGCTTTAAAACACAAACAAACAAGACACCAGTCCCAGGCCCCTACTCCTTGGGATTTTACTCCCTTAAAGACGGGTGAGAAACCTGAAATCTCTACTTCTAAACTATTCCCCAAGTATCAATGAAAGAGAATAACATTTGGGGTGACTCAGATGTCCACCAGTCTGAAGGTAGAAGGCTAAAGAGCAAACTTGTTATAAAATTGGAAACAGTAAAAATGTAGAAATCATGATAGACCATATATGATATAATTGATCCATAGTTAGACTTTCTTGTGTATTTTAACCTAGTTTAGGAGTATTTTAAACAGTTTTCAGGAAGTCTGGCATCCTTTGGATCACATTCCACAGGATAACATGCAAACCCAATTTGGGTGAAACAATGTAAGACCAAGTAATAAGGTTTCTTGAGTAGTTGAACCTAATGATCACTCTTCCCGAACTACATTGTCACTGACAGCTTTTACTAGATAACAAAATTAAGTTTACTATAAAATTAGCCACCACCATTTTTATAAAATTAATGGATAATGTGGAAGTGACCTTCTAATGGCACTTAAGGTAGAAAAGGTCTCTTTTCTTCTTGATGGTGCCCTAAGGTCCCATAGTAACAAACTTATGAGAATTTGTAATGGAACATTTAAAACAATCCTAACACTACAGACAGATTAGACAAATCCAAAAGGATTCAATGGTTGTTTACCACTAAATTTGCTAGAAAAAAAGACAGAAATTAAGAAGTTATTTAGATACTTATAAAAAGCTGAAGGATTCCTTCATATCTCTGAATTATCGTTTAAAGATCTACTATGCAAGCTTGGCCTGTGTGGCTCAGTTGGTTAGAGCATCATCCCATGAACGGAAAGGTGCTGAGTTCAATTCCCGGTCAGGGAACTTACCCAGGTTGCAGGTTTGATCCGCAATCAGGGGCAGGTACAGGAGACAACCAATCAATGTTTTTCTTTCCCTCTCTTTCTCCCTCCCATTTTCTCTCTCTCACTCCCCCTCTCATCAATACAAAGCATACCCTCTGATGAGGGAGTGAGCTTTTTTTTTTTTTTTTT